CCCCCCCCCCCCCCACACACACACAGAGGAGAAAAGTTCTGGATACATTTTCTCCAAGGAGAAAACATTTCCTCAGTAGCCAGTACAAAGACTCGTGGGCATGTTTAACTTCAAATCTCTAATTTAGTCGTGGTTGTGGTATTTATTTCAGATACGCTCTGTTTAGTTTTAATGTGGTTTCTAGTGTTTGTGAAGCCAAGAGCAGCGTAGAGGGTTATCTATCACAAACTAGTAGTCATTAATGACTCCCAGTCGGTGATTATGTTGAGTTTGTCATTTAAATGTTAATAAAACCAGATTTAACGATATAAAGGATACAGTAGCTTCTGGATCTGAACACTGCCTTAAATCTGCAGTCTTTCTAATGACCACCAGGGGGTGATTCCCTTTGTTGGAAAAATTAAAAAAAGAAGAAAAAATAAGAAGAAGACTTGATTGTATAGAAGTCTATGGGAAGAGGACCACCAGCTCTCCTGCTCTGTGTGACCTCACTAAACTCTTTCATGATGAGTTTATGGGCTCGGTCATTAGATTTTGTTCTCAATCAATACACCATAAAGCTCATTTTTAAAGTTCATAAATTTATGAAAGTCAGAAAGAAATCCAAAATTGACTGATAACCTGTCAATCAGGAGTCATTCATCAGTGGTTTGGCCGATTATTTCCACCACTCCATTGGATTTTAAAGCAATCTTGAAGGACGATGCCTTGAATAACAACATTTTCACCAATTTTAATACAAATAAATACAAGTTGTTGACCAAACTGGAGATTTTTAAGCAAAATTTGCCAACAAAACAACACATTTTTATTCTATTATTAAAGTAATTTTATAAGAATTTCATTCCCAGTGCACTGCACATGCATGAAATCTGATGGAAAATCTGCCCTCCAAGATTACACTCACTCCCATCAAATGAAAGGTTAAACAGTCAAACTTTTTTCATCTGCTCTGGTTTTGAATGGAAGGAGATTTTGTTGGTTTTAAGTGGCAGAAATCTTATTAAATGAACTCTGTGTGGCTGGAGGCAGTCTTGTCATTCCGCAGCTGCCACTGAAAGCGTCTCTCAGTGATGCAGCCTTTCATGAATCTCGGCTCATTAAGGCTCCAAACTGGGATTAAACCCCATAAATGTCTTTTTTCCCCATGTTGGCTGTGATAAGAATAGCTCGTGGCTCGGTGGCCACAGATGCCTTTTCACAGCGTCCAGTGTGGATTTTTTTAAAAACGTCTTGTGTTTTCTCTCTGCGGTCAGAGCAAGGAGCTGAACTTCATAAATCAGACGATAGATTTTGTTGGTTTTCCTTTCAAGGTGTACAGATCGACGGGGGGTTTCTGTAGGAGCGGTTTTAGCACCAAACCGCTGGCTGCACAAACACTGGGCGCACAGACCGACAACATGCGCTTATGCACAACTCTGCGCTGCAAAAAGTGTCCCTCTGAGTCTGAGAAGGTTCTGTTTAGTCTTGTGGGTCCTGTTTTAGCTGGATGAAAGAGATTAAAAAAAAAAAAAAAAAAACTACTGAAGAAAACGTTCTAAAATGCAAGTGAATGTTTCCAAAATCAACTTTTTAAAGAACAGTCTCGCTTTTTGTGTATCAGTTTTTACGCATCAAAGCTCCAAATAATCCGCAAAAATCTGCGCAGATTTATCGTGCATGTTGGTAAAACGGTGTTGCACTTTTGCTTAGCTTAACACATGACGTTTAAAATGACATTAAACGATATAAATGCAGTTTTAAAGTGCCACTTTTTGCAGTGCGGCTTCGACCCCTGAACAGTCGCGTCTGTATGCAGCAGCTCAGGAGCGCCCAGGAAAAAGGGAATAAAATCTAAAGAGGCAGGGGGAAAATCCGTATAATTAAGGCTTCAGCACAAGTGAAGTGGGCTATTTTTGCACAGGAGCACTGCGAAAACAAACAAAAAAGTAACGCGGAATAGTAAAAGACAAACAGGAGGCTGTCTCCTGCGGCTTAGGGCTCATAAATTGTGTGCAGGTCTGCGCCGGTGACGAGCAGCGGCTCCGAGTGCGTGCTGCAAAAAATGTCCAGCTTGGAGAAGACCTGTCCCCTTTATGAGCCTTAAATTCATTAATCAAGCTCACACCAAGGAGGTTTTGAGCTTTAGAGCAATTTTCTGGCAAAGTGACACGAGTAAGAAAAAAACCCCCTCAGCTGGGTCAAGGCAAATATCAACAATATCGATACCAATGATGGTAGTACAATAGGGTCCATTCTTTGTTTCTACCCTCTACATTCAGCAAGCAGCCTACTGATGTTAAATTGTAATTTTCTATAGAGATTTAATAATATAACTCAAGCTTCAACATTTTAAAATTCACAAAAAGCTAAAAGGTGTGTTTTTGTTGCGTTAACTAATTATTGTTGAAAGTAAAATCAATAATTAGTTAACACAACAAATCACGAAAAGTGATTTCATGGTTATTAAATTCGCTAATCAATGACAAATTCCCATACATCATGACACACTGCTCTCACCTACATAGGGTGCCGTTATAGGTTAAAGCTATCGGTATTGGTATCGGCAATACTGGCCCTGTATTAACTTGGTATGGTTCATTCCAGAATTCGCTCGAGTGTCCTGATTTTGTAGATAACCGTTATAAATTGGGTTCAGTTAAGAACTCGTTCGCACATGCAGGTGTTGCACATGTCTGTTCAGCCTCTACTTCTTGCAGCGTGTACAGCGAGGTGACAGCTCCAGCCCGGAGTGCGCGCTTTCATTCCCCACGTGGGTCTGTGGACACAAACGCTCAGGGAGGAAGCCCGCGGCCACAAGAGCCAGATATAAATACTTTATTCCTGGGGAAATAGGGAGTCAAATAAATTCCACGCGAAGCCACATCAGTGACGGTGTCGTAAAGATTTCTGACAGTCCAAAAAGGAGACTGTTAACTCGACCAGTGAGGCTAAAAACGAAAACGGTAAACATGAGCACACGCTTGACCCCGGGCTCTAACCAAATACGACTTTTGGCTGTTTCTCCACCAAAAAAACATGATGTAGAAACAGAGGACATAGTGTTTTAATTAAGAGCGACCGCTCGCCGTACATTTTTAGAAGGGGTTGCCCACTTTTTTACGCATGAGCTGCCCACAGTGAACCTCTGATTCCAACCTCTACTGTTCAGCCTTCGCAGGGCTTTTAGACTCTATTCAGCTAATCCGTGCTTCGCCCCCCAAGAAATGTCTGAGTTAAACTTGTAGCTTTATTTATTAAAAAAAAAAAGGACGATAAAGTTTAATAGAGCTGCTGCTGTGATTTAAATCAGTGCCAAGAAAATCTGTTTTAAAGCGCATCTTTTTCATTTAAAATCATTAAGGGATGAATGTGATAAAATTACTTTGTTGGCAAAGACCGTTTTTCTTTGAGTCTTTCTTTGAAGGGCTTTGAGTCAACAAGATAACAGCGTCCACGCGTTTAAAGACGGGGCAAAGTGCGCAGACCTCCTGCACACAAATGCCTGCTTCTCTCTGAGCCGGACTGTAGTCGGGCTTAAAGGCACTACAGCAGCTGGGAGGGTTACCTGCGTCATCAGGCGGTCTGCACCTGTGTTCTCCTCATCCTTGAAGATGATGTCGGGGTTGTAGTTGGGGGTGAGCTCCTTGAAGCGCTCGGAGTTCCGGGTAATTTTCCCTTCGTATCTCCCGCTGGCTCCCAGCGTCTTCTCGCCCACGTTGGGGGTGAACTGCTTGTAGGCGAGAGGGACCAGCTTCCGCGGCGGCCGCCTCTTGCCATTGCCTCTGCCCGGTCCGCACCCCTCGCTGACCGGTGACAGGAGGAACGCGCACCCGGCGAGGCACGTCACCAGCGTCGAGAGCAGCATTCCGCCTGGCGGCCGGTGTGTCACCCCCTCCCACCTACTGCGGGAGGCCAATATGTCTCCGCTGTATTTCTGTTGGAGTGTCCCCTCCTTCCACGCGTGGGTTCCCCTTTGTAATCTTAGAGCGGAGACAACAGAGCAGGACTCATCCCAGAGTCCCCAGAAGTCGCCATTCCCGGCGCGTAAAAGTGGCCAGTGCGCCGCTGGAGCCCAGCTGGAGAGAAGTGAACCTGTCCTCTGCGCCGCTGCTCACGCACTGCGTGTCCCGAGTGCACGCGGAGTGCAGGGGCATAAATAGGAGAGGTGAGTTTATCTTGGCAGGCAGGTTCAAAGCTGTGCCTCTGCGTTGAAACTATGAGAAACGGGCTCGGAGACAGACGCGGAGGCGCGCGGCGCGTAGGCTGTTGGACACGGCGGTCACGGGGTGTCCCCGCAGCGGTTTCTGTCTCTCGGTTTTCCTCTCAATGCGTCGCTGTGGCGCGGGGCGGCTGGCAGAAATGCTGGCAGGAAGCAAGCCTGCTACAGTGCACACGAGGTGCCGCGGGAGGAGGAGAAGGAGACCGCGCCCTTCTGGACCTGCCCTCTACTCAGTCCTCTCCTCCCATCGCGGCCGCCTTCATCTGTTTATTGTCGGCTCGGGCCTGAGCCGAGGACACGCAAACACAGAGCCACGAGACCCGCGAGGGCCGGTGCGCGCTTACGCTGTCCTTTGGACCCGCGTTCCCAAGGCGAGACGCATGAGGGCGAGCGCAGGTGCGCGCATGACCCCTCCTTCCTCAGTGCAGGTAGCAGCTCTGCTGTGGGCAACGAAGCTGTGAGCACATCAAGCGAGAGCAGGGGGACCTCGACGACCCAGAGACCTCGACTTACACAAAAACACACTAAAAGCGAACACGTGACTCAGCTACCTTTAAACCAGACCAAGCAAGGCTCAAGTTTGATTCTTGGACCCCAAGCGCGGTGACACCAAGTGTGTGATATGTCATACATCAGTTTTTTTTTAACTTCTACATCATCAGTGTAATTTTCCCCTCCTCAAAGTGCACAATACATTATATTCAATAAACTGGAAAATAAATGTGAAGCTCTGGGCTAAACAACTGTTTCATAGTTCAGGCTTTAAAGGACTAAAATCGTATAATTCTGCCTCATTATTAAAGGCCCTGAATTCTGAGATCACCTCAAGGTGATGGACGCTTAAATTTGGGTTTGATTACCTTGAGTGACTGCCTTCGTCCAGGTTTCAGGCTTTTCTTTTATAAGTGGCTTGCTGAGAGGGGAAAAAGTCAGAAATCATAGAAACTAAACATAAAACAAACCTAAAGGTGACAAATGTTTACATAAATGAGTGCAAAAGCTCAACAGTGACAAGCTGACGCCATTAAGTGCAGTTTTACCTGCCTTATCACCAAAGAACATGATCTACTTTGGTACAGTGCTCCAAAAGGTGCTTCTTTCTTGATTCTGACTCATTTCTTTGTTAAATGCCTTGTTGGAGCTTTCAGAAGCTACAGTATAACCAGCGACACAGTTCAAAGAGTTGGGCTGAATAGCATCTTTTGTGAATCTTTGCTGAGGAGAAAGGTTCTCTTAAATTCAGAGATTACACACATCACAGATGGTTTCACTGGTACCGAATGTAGCTAACTGGAGACACTGGAACAAAATTAACCCTGACATGCTTACCGGCTGCTTTGTTGTCGGGGTTACAGAGACTATGTTCAGGGAGATCACTTGAGGATAACTGAGCGGCTTATTGGACAGATCCGGTTTCACAAACCACCCAACACCGTTTCAGAGCCCATTGAGCCCTCTGCTGATGTCACACCCTCCATCACCAGGGGTCAAACTGAAGTCTGAGGCCTGCTGAGGGGTCCCAAGATAAACCAGAAAACAGGAGACCTTTCCAACAACCCTCCACCAGATCAGGAAATTCATGGAAACTGTCATCTGATGCAACATGTATTGACCAAAAATTTAATTTTAGCAACTATCGAAGAAACTTAAGGATTTCAATCCCTTGTGCTGACTGTTTTTAAAGTGTCATGAAAATTAGGCCCAAGAAAAAGCAGCAGCTATGATTTTTACACAGATGACTGTTTTTTGGTTTGGTTTTGCAGATCGTCATCTCCGGCTCTGGCTGGATTCTTCCTTAACTAATCCTGGACTTTGATGTACCCCCCACCCACCCTGCGGAGAGACTTTGAGGGTTAAACAATTTCCTTCAAACTTTTCTCCAGAAGACCATCTAGAGACAAAGTTACTGTTCTTGATCTTCAATTACTATATACAAGATAAAGAAAAGCGGATTTTAGAAAATGCTGGAATCAAACATTTGTAAGCTTTGTTTAATAAATGGTGGTTGAAATGCTTTATGGAAACACAGAATAGAATATCTCACCATAAATGAGTCAATGCCCATAGGCTCCCATTTAAAATGTCCAACTTTACAAAACAAACATCTACAGCATATTGCAAAAAATAGTTTTGCTCTTGGTAGAGCTTGACGGATCGATCGTATCGATACAAATGCTGGTATTGGTATCAGATCGATACTAGAATGATAGAGGATAGAAACAAAGTATCAATATGTAGACCACTGAATTGTGTTAAATACATTTTTTTTAAATTAAAAAAAACATACCCTGTGAAACATGTCTTAACCTTTTTGTGTTCACGGTCTATTATACTTACAGCCTACAGCACATTTAAACAACAGAAGTTGACAAAGTGCTTTAGAAACAGACACATTTACATTCCAGGTCTCTAATAAATCCAATTTCAAAGTATATGAAAAGCTAAAAACTATATTTTTCTGTATTGAATATTTATTAATGTGTTCAGAATCTGCAAATTAATGATGAGTCTTCTCATAAGTCATGACAGACTGCTCTCCTTTATGGGTTAAAAATATTTGCTATCAGCAATACTGACCCTGTACTTACTTGGTTTTGGATCGATACCAAAATTTGCTCTACTGCAGTGATTTTGTAGATAACAGCCTTTAAATTGGGTTCATTTGAATTAAGAACTGAAATGACCGGTATTGGTATTAGCAATATTGGCCCTGCATTTACTTGATATCTGATTGATAGGAACATTTGCAGTATCAAATAACACAACTGGATAGTGTCTCGAAATATCTATTCAATTTCCTCTTCAAAACGTGATCACTTCTGCCTCAAGAAAACTAACAATGCAGCAACCAAAATGCTAACACTGACGCATCCAAATTGAGTCCAAATACCATTTGGGTGATGCCATAGTGGCTACATCCATCTTCTATATACAGTCTGTGGATCAAAAACAGTTTTTCTGCCATGTTAAACTTAGAGAAGCTTATAGAGCATTAATTCTATTTCCTGGTTGTATTAATTTAATAAACCCTCATTTACATTCAGAAACATCTGTCTGTGTTGTCTGTCGTGAAAGAGTCGTGAAAGAGGGACAATTCTGATTGGCTGGTATCCAAAGTTACTCTCAGGTATCTCTGATCAACAAATCTGAACACACAGGTGATCAAAGAGACAAAATCATGATGTGATATGATTGATTTTTGCAAACAAACAACCGAAATGGAATTACACAATCCTCATGTTTCACCACCTTCTTTCTTTTGACCATAAAAGCAGCATTTGTCACTTAAATAAATAACAATAATCTGCTCTTTCAGTGGAGAAAACTGCAATTTTTTTTTAACAAATGTCTCTCACACAGAAACTCTTTGGAGCCATGCAAGCAAACACTGACTTCTCAAACTAAAACTTCAATAGCATTCCCGACATGCTGCAACACCTTGAGTCAACATCTCACTGAGCCCTGAAAAAGGAGAGCGGCTCCTCTATCGACCGCTGTCTGCTCATTGTGCTCCGACTGTCTGGGTCACGGAGAAAGCAACTACTTAAGATTGGCAGAAAAATAGAAGCTTGAAGTTTTAGTGAAAAGTTGTTGAAGCTTTTATTTTATAACATTAAAAACATAATATTCCTTCGAAAGCTGTTTTTGAGTTTAATCTCTTATTATGTTAAAAAAAATTTAAATTCTGTGGTTTGCATAACAAATAACAAACATAGACACCCATTAAAAATACATGTATACCTTTAATTGGCAATATGACTTCTTTAAAAACATTTCACACCTAGTTAAAGATACATGAAGGTTAATCGTTTATTAAAACCTAAAAAGAACAAGAAATTACCTACCTACCAGCTGTCAGTCATCAGTACAATCATCAAAAAGAAAACCTGATCCCACAGTGGTTTTTCTATTTCTATTTTTAACAAAAATGGTAAAAATAGAAAAAAGTATTTATTTAATGACACTTTTAGTCTAAAATCTAAACATTTTTAAAAGTAGGTTTGTAAAAATGTCCTCAAGAGTGTAAAAATTCAATAAGAAGTGTTTTTAAAGGACGGCACTTTTTCTAAATTCGTAATTGTGTGTGCGTCCTACTGCTCGAGATCATCTGAACAGGCCCACTTTCTTCTTCTTCGGTTTGGAGGCCGGTCGCTCTGCAGCGGTGGATGTGACAGGAAGAGACTGAGGAAGACAAAAAACACAAAAGGAGAAATGTTTTTCATAGTCTATTTCCAATTTCCTGTTTTTAAAATCACTCATTCTTTTTTCTCCCCCAAGGAAGCATTTAAGCAGGAGACGCATTTCACAGTTTATCTGCTGACTTGCAATTTGAATATTGTAGATCCCAGCTGATGAATTTGGATTTAAAATCTCTTTTAATCTCCAGCTTTGTTGCATTTGTTCCCCTACAAATAACCCTAATTGGTCAAATCTTAAAAAAAAAAAAAGTCTTCTGTTGTACCTGCTGCATTTTGGGTCTGTTGACCATCTTGGCTCCACGTGTTTCCGGCTCCCCGTTGTTGGTCTGTTTTTCATTCCCATCAGCCGATTCACTGCTGACAGATCCGCCGGCTGAAGGACGAGGATGAAGATGTTTATTAAACTAAATAATGACTCAGAGAAGCACCAACATGTCACATCTGCCATCAGTAAATCAGGATTAAACTTGCTGCTACTACAACCGATCAGCAATTTCTAGAGATTTCAAAAAAGAAAAAAGAAAACAAAAAAAAGACCTGCGGCAGGAGTGGACACTAACACCTGCTAGTGTCCACTCGTGGCTGTATGCCCACAGACTCCTATCTTCGAATGTCCAACTCTTTATAGCAGATATAAACATGTCTACAGCCTGATGCAAAGAATTTCATAGTCTCTAAAGATAGTTTAGCCCTTGATATTAGATGGATCTCATACCTTACACATTTGGATTTTGCTGAGGCTAAAACTTAGCATCGTTTCCTCTTTGACTGACAGCAGCTGGTTTGCTGCCTAAAGGCTTCATCGCAGCTAACTGGAGTCACTAAACTGGACCACTGGAGTGTGTTTGTACTGCTGATGCTTAAACTGATTGTTTTCATTCCAAAGTTACAGTGCTGTGCAAAAGTCTTGATCCACTCCTCATTTCTTTATATTTTGCTTCCAAGCAGCCAGGCTTGCAATTTGTAATTTTTAAAAGTGCTTTTGACCAGTCGCTCTGCCGGCAAAGGTTTTCTTAAGACACTGGCCCCCTTTTTCACCAATTTTCAGTTGAGTCCTTATAGCTGATGATTTTCAGAGGAATGATTTTGTATCTTAAGCTATTTAACACTATGAACTATGAATCATCTTAAGCAACTAAAGTGCACTAAACAGACAACTCAGTGAAGAAACCATTTTAAATTGCATCCTCAGACACTTTGTTACTAGCAGCCTGTGACAAAAACACATCATTTGCTCCCATTTTCATGATGTATCAACTCATCAACACAGATCAGCTGATGGGGAGAAAAAACACAAAAAACAAAAAATGATTTGAAGGGATTTTATTCGTCTTTTTTTTTCACTAAAGTTGAAAATGCAAAACCACTGGATAACTTATGGGTGGCTATGTCCATCTTTTATATACAGTTTGTTGTTTTTACACAGGAGAGTTTTTAAAAACAAATGCAGCTGGTTGTTATGACCTGAGCTGACTCCCATATACAGGGGTTTAACTTCTGTACCTGGCATATGTATTTATTACATTGAATAACCTTTATCTCCAATATCTATTAGAAACCATGTCTCACTGCTTCACATTGTTATAAACTAACTTCTGTTCAAACTGAAGGCTGTGACAGATGTTTTAGCACATAATAGGAAACTGAAAATGTAAACTGGTGTTCTGATTTATTTTGCTTCTGTATTTATGAACATTTATTTATATGAACAGTTGTTAGTTGCCCTGTCCTTTACGTTTGCATGTTGTAAACTTCCCCTTTCATTCTTGCCGCCATCTTTCTGTTACAAATCACCCCTGACACGCTTTTAAGTATCTGGTTGACCCCAGATACTTAAGCTCATCTACCTTCACTGTAACACCTGTCTGCCTCTCATTCACACACATATCTTGCTTCTACCAACTTTTATTCATTTTCTCTCCAGTGCATACCTCCACCTATCCAGGCTCTCCTTCATTTGCTCCTTACTGTCATGTCATTACAGATCACGGTGTCATCTGCAAACATCATAGTCCATGCAGACTCCTGCCTGACCTCATCTATCAGCTTGTCCATCACTACTGCAAACAGAAGGGGCTCAGAGTCGATCCTTGATCTAAACCCACACCCACCTTCAACCCATCAATCACTCCTATCACACGGCTTTCCACTCTCTTTTACAGTCCTCTCTACCACTTCTGACCTCCTCATGCAGTAGGGCAGTTCTTCTCTTGGATTCAACACATTTATTTACTTTTTAGATTTTTGTAATGGATATCAGCCTCAATATGCAAACTGTCATCTGCAAAGTGTGCAGATGTATGCAGTCAAAATCAAAAATATACACCCAAAACTATCACAATGCAATTTCTTTGATGAAGATAAAGAGGAAATATTAAATGCTCACATAAACCTGACTAAATCTTTAAATTTGACCATTAAACTTCAGCGCAGTTGTGAAGCTGTAATGTTCACCTGAAGCGTTTAAGACGAGTTCTGGCTCCTTGTTGGCGTGTTCGACCTCCTCAGCAGACTGCTGCTCCGACAGTTTGCGCTTTCGTGCACTTCCGTGAGTGACGATGGCGGCGTATAGCTCCTGAAGATCGCCATCGAAGCCCAGAGCTTCCTGTTGTTCAGAACAGAGCAGAGGAAGAGCCTGATGGAGAGAAACACAACGAGGCAAAACCTGCGTGAAAAACTGGCAAAGATTCAAAGCACTTAAAAGTTTCATATGTCTTATTATTTCTCCAGTGTTGTCAGAGGTAAAAATTGTTCAAGCTCCAGATTTTCCTAAATGTGTTATAAACCCTTGAACCTTTCAACAAGGCTTTATGCAAACTCTGAAAGGTGTGATAACGGATATATTAAAACAGGATTAACCTCCATGCATGAAAAAAAAGAAAACAAAAAGGTGCTGCTCTTTTAGATGCAATGTAGTTTTAAAAAGTGCAATATGCACTCAGAGATTAAAAAAGAGGCAGCCATCTACTGTTACTGGTTACATGGAAAAGGAAAAAGAAGCACAAAGAGGGAGCAAGAACAAAACAAACTATAGAAGAAAAAAAAAGACTAGGGCCATAACTGATGGAAGATTTACCAAAATGGGATGTTTGAACCTTAAAAACTCCCATGTAAGAATCCTGGACAAGCCCCCAAATTTGTCATAATGCAACTCATGAGCCATGACAAATAACAGGAGAGAGAGAGACAAAGTGTACCAATTATTAACCAAGAGAAGCAAAATTAAAAACACTAGGACTAAACCAACACTATGGTGGATAGATCAAGAGACCTAAATGCTCCAGATGCTCCCAGTTACACTGATTAAAAGATGGTTAAATGTGACACAGGATCATCACAGTACAAAGGGTGTCTGTTACACAGTACAGCGCCCTGGCATTCCCTCCCATTCTACTCACTCAAATTCATTCAAACTTACTCTAACCACAAATAAGCCAGCAGTCTGAGAGCGAAGTGCTCTGTTGGGGTGATATAGTACTAGTAAGTCTTTAACATACTAAGATGGGACCTGATGATTCAATGCTTCGAGCTTTAAATTAAATTCTGAATGTAGCAGAAAGTCAGTGAGGATGAACCACTGTTTGAGAAATATACTCTGTCTAGCTATCCTATTTATCTCTGAGAATATTTTTTAGCAGAAGCTGCTTTCACATGTCAAGTTAAGGTCGGATATCAGCTGAAGCTGTCCTCTTAATCCACTTCAGACATATTGTAAATGCTTTGTTGGTCTTACATGAAGCAGGACACATGATGCCCACTTACTGACATTTAACAGCACTAATCAGACGAACGCAGGTCAAAGAGTTTTCACATGCTGACGAGACTTTGAGCTGCTTTACATTATAGACCTACTTCAGTAAAGAAGGAGGATCAAGCAAATACACATTGGTGTATTTTAATGTCTCTAGTGCACTAAACTGAAGGCCTTTTATTTGTTCAACTTTAGTGCCTGGACCTGGATTTTTGTATGCCATTTTTTTGGTCATAATCTTGCAGTTTTCCTTTTACCTACTTCACTAAATGTTAATTAAAAATCACTCAAGCTGTTTAACTGCTCCAAAGTCCTGTGTCACAGTGTTAAATAAGTGATCCAGACCCCTCCCAAAAAACTGTCACAAGTTCTTCATCTACCTCTGTTGCACTTCTCCAGGGTAGTTGTTGGGTAATCTTCACAACAGAAAAACAGGCAAACAATCAGCACCAAACTCCACCTAAAACAGCTGGCTACCTTCTTTCTACAGATCTTAATTGTCATCATCATTATTATCATGTCTTCTGCAATGCATGCGTACAATGCATTTTGCGTTTCCATCAGGTGTCTGGAAGCCTTGTGGTCTTCCATTCTGCAGCACTGGGGTCGAGCCGAAGGTCTGCTTTGGTGGGACAGTTGGGAGGTAATCACTGGAGATGTTCAAACCATTGCACTTATTGCTATGCAGCCAGCATGGTGGAGGTTCATGCATTCCCATTCTGAGATCATGGTTTGACACATACAGTGGCTTGCAAAAGTATTTGGTCCCCTTGAACTTTCCCACATTACAGCCACAAACATGAATCAATTTTATTGGAATTCCACATGAAAGACCAATACAAAGTGCTGTACACGTGAGAAGTGGAACGAAAATCATACATGATTCCAAACAGTGTTTTGCATTTTGGCCAAAAAGTTCCATTTTGGTTTCATCTGACCAGAGCACCTTCTTTTTAATGTTTGCTGTGTCGCCCACATGGCTTGTGACAAACTGCAAACGGGACTCCTTATGGTTTTCTGTTAAAAATGGCTTTCTTCTTGCCACTCTTCCATAAAGGCCAACTTTGTGCAGTGCACGACTAATAGTTGTCCTATGGACAGATTCCCCCACCTGAGCTGTAGATCTCTGCAGCTCGTCCAGAGTCACCATGGGCCTCTTGGCTGCATTTCTGATCAGCGCTCTCCTTGTTCGGCCTGTGAGTTTAAGTGGATGGCCTTGTCTTGGTAGGTTTACAGTTGTGCCATACTCCTTCCATTTCTGAATGATCGCTTGAACAGTGCTCCGTGGGATGTTCAAGGCTTGGGAAATCTTTTTGTAGCCTAAGCCTGCTTTAAATTTCTTAATAACTTTATCCCTGACCTGTCTGGTGTGTTCTTTGGACTTCATGGTGTTGTTGCTCTTAGACAACCTCTGAGGCCGTCACAGAGCAGCTGTATTTGTACTGACATTAGATTACACACAGGTGCACTCTATTTAGTCATTGGCACTCATCAGGCAATGTCTATGGGCAACTGACTGCACTCAGACCAAAAGGGGCTGAATAATTACGCACACCCCACTTTGCAGTTATTTATTTGAAAAAAAAAAATGTTTGGAATCATGTATGATTTTCGTTCCACTTCTCACGTGTACACCACTTTGTGTTGGTCTTTCACGTGGAATTCCAATAAAATTGATTCATGTTTGTGGCTGTAATGTGACAAAATGTGGGAAAGTTCAAGGGGGCCGAATACTTTTGCAAGCCACTGTAGTTCGATCCCATCAACAGTTTTGTTTCCAGTCTGCGTAACTCATGAAGCTAAATATTTAAATATCTACAGTTTCCCAGTTTCCAGACCCCAGGTACACAAATGATGCTTCAAACTCCGCATTGTCCTGTCTAGTATTAACTGATGAAGGACCATAACCAATAAACAGAAACTTTTTTGCTCAGCCTGAGTTTACCTTAAGGCTGAGCTTGGAATATGAGCTGGTTGATTATCAAGCAGAGGGTTAGGGTCTCATGAGGTAAAGCTGGAGATTTTAAGCAATGTCTCGCATACCTTGGACACCAGGTTGTGAATGTTACAACTAAAACTAAGGTAAAGCCTTCAATTTATGGAGAACCCATCAGAGTGTTTCTCTGACAGAATCTCTTTATCCAATACTATATTTCCCCATTTCTTCATCAGTCAGATATGCTGCCACTTCACTTAGAGTATGTAGAGACTCTTTGAAATATTCCTCTGATCTAAAGCTAAATATCAGCTATATTCTGAGAAATGCTAGTACTCAATAACTAGCTTGAAAATGTAGAATTATTCTTACTGAGAAACAAATGCAGTTTACAGACTAATTCCCTGCTTCAATTTTGGTGCACACCACGCTGAGATATGACAAGTTTTCAGCTAATACCTCGTTGGGAATCACCTTGTTGGTGCAAAAATAGCATTTTATGTCTGTCAAATTGTGTTATCTTTGACATTTTTCAGAAATTCAACTAAGGAAAAGGGAACAAATAATGTGCTTTTGTGACAGGGTGCTAAGTAACTGGCATTGAATACATGCAGTTTTTCTGCATGTATAGCTAGCATGTCAGGTGCCTCACTTGGAATTTTTATTCCAAATAACTAAATTAAAAATCAACTAAACAGCGTTTTATGGATCATAAAGTCTGAAATTCTTTAACTGGAAGTGGTTTTATGTGTCAGGGAGATAATTTTATATGTTGTTTTTTTTTAATTCCTGACTGCTTAAAGTAATAAAAAGTGAACATCTGAGTCATTTCTCAGGTATTTTTATATTTCTATTTTGATTTTCCTGTTGCCTGCCACTAGCTTTCCTTAATATAACATAAGATCCCCAAGAAGTTTAAATTTTGTCATTAGTTTTAATTCTCCATTTATTATTTCAGTAAATCTTAAATATGCTTGATATTACTTTTACAGGAGTACACTCAGTTTTCCCACCTTAAATCCTTTTAAGCCTACTCAACAACAAACTTGGAAGGGCAAGTCACAGTTACGTGTCTTTATTTTTAGACTCTGATGAGATTCTGCAAGTTTCAGGTGTTAGTTTTCACCCTGCCCCTTCCATTAATTAAAGCTGATAAATCAATAGAAGTGACCTGCAGCCCCTGCCTTTGGGGCACATTTGCTTTATGGCCCTGCTGTGTGGAGTCACATGTCTGAGGTGTGATTGAGGGTGTGTCGGGGTTGCGATAAGCCTCTAATCAAAGCTACATTATTGGCCCAGCTGACTGCAGGTAGAGCGGCGAGCAGTAACAACAGAAACACACACACACACACACAAACACACACACTCTGTCTGACAGATAAGGCTTCAGGTAAACTCCTGTGACATTATGCGAACGCACGGCTGGCACATAGAAAAACACTCACCATTCAATAAATCCTTCTTTTTCTCTCAAATGGAGGACAAACTCTCCAAATTAGCTCCTCAAATATTGACTGGGAGAAATTGGTGGTCTCCCCACTCGCTGTCAGAGCAGAGGGGCTCCTAAACACACTTTGGTCAGGTTTCGAGGTTTCACATTGATTTATTTTCGTTATTTGTTTGTTTAAATATCGTAAAAATAAATGTACACTCTGGCGAGGCTTATTTCTGCTTTGGGCACAGAGAAACCAATGTGCTGAGGGGAGAGAAAGCAGGAGAAAGCAGACCTTATTCTCTTGCTTTTTTATTCACCTTCTCCCTCCCTTCTCCTCTTCCTCCTCCTCCTCTCAAGCTGCAAACCAACTCACTTCATATTAATTGATGTGAAATGCTGAAATCAATTTGTTGGATCCGGAGGCCCCGAAGCGCCAAAATCAAATGTTAAAACTAGTTTAAATCCCTCCTCTTTGCTCCATGGAAGGTGTCACAAAAAGCAGATGAATTTTAA